CCTGTGCCCATGGATGGGACAGCTATAAGCTAGTCATACCCAATCCAGTTATTATTATAGATCCAAGGCAGAAACTAATTTCTCAGTTTTCCTGTGGGAGGGGCCCAGAGTCAGTAGCGATAGAGCAGTTCCCTACGGGTCGTGGGTCGTACCTTTGTCGTTGTCTGTGGAGCTCTGTTTTTGCAGCGGAGTGTGTCGCCGTCTCATTGTCTCCTGGAATAATAAGAACAGTGATCAAAATAATAATAAAATAATACTACAATTATTTATAATAATATTGATCACAATAATAATTATTTTGGTCTCTTTGTGCCGCTTTACAACATAATTCATTCACACTGTACATGGAGGTGAACTACATGAGCCACAACTCCCCTGGAGCAGGCCCTAAACCCTCAACTTCTAATTCCATCTGCAGGTGGCGCCACATATTCTTGTCTCTTTATTTTGAATTTCTTCACTTTAGTGTAAAAGGACACTCCAATAGAACTGTGATTTCATGTTTATGAAGCACAAGCTGTCCCGTAGCAGCAGGAAGCATATTTGTACATGTGTGGACAGGTCCAGCGTCTCAGCCCACTGACAGTGATAAGAATCATAAATGTATTAAACTGAATTGAACTGAACAGAAGTCATTGAAAAACGAATTAAAACAGAAATCCAAAAATCCAAAAGTCATGTTTCTCTGTGTCATGTGTTTGTAGTTTATGTGCAGTGATGTGATTGCTGTATTGGACTGTTGTGATGAAGAAGGAGCAGCAGCTGCTCCTGTGGGCTCACCACTTGCAGGACGATCAGTGAGGGGCTGGTGCTATGTGTACTGGGTGCAGCTCTGACTGCCACCCCCCGACCAAGAAATTGATAAAGGGGAAGAAAATGGATGGATGGATGGGAGCAGTGTCTGCAGTCAGAGCTTGGATAGAGGCATGGTTTCTCCATGTGGAGAAGAGGCAATTGAGGTGGCTCAGGCATCTGCTTGAGAGGCCTCCTACACGCTTCCCTGAGGAGGTGTTCTGAGCATGTCCCTCTACGTAGGACACACTGGAGGGACTGCGTCTCTGAGCTAACTTGGGAACACCTTGGGATTCCCTCAGGTGAGCTTGAGGTTGTTGTGTGTGAAGAGGGAAGTCTCTGTCGACACTGGTGCCCCTTCGACCCGGCAGCAGATAAAGCAGAAGAGAATTGATTAGATGGATGTGTATATGTTTGTCCAGACAAGAAACCAGTCGGACCAGAGATCATCCTGATACAGGGTCAGGGCGTGGACAAGGACCACAAACACACACAAAAACACACACACACACACACACACACACAAACACACACACACACACACACACACACAGCAGAGTAAATAGCTGTGAGACAGAGAAACAAAAGTCTCTTACTGTTAGAAGACCAAACCAGGACTGAACCAGGACTGAACCAGGACTGAATCAGGTCTACAGCAGAACTGAAGTAGGACTAATCCAGTTCTACAGCAGGACTACAGCAAGACTAATTTGAGGAAACGCAGACAGTTAGTTCAGCGGCAGACACACCTCCTCATTTACACATCAGAGACTATGTACCCTAAGCCACGCCCCCGTTTACATATCAACATTCTAGTCACACAATTGGAATATTTTTAATGAAGAGTAAAAGAGCATTTCTCGGAGAATTGTCTGAAACTGGAGTTAGAGGATCACGTTATTATCAAAACACAAGAAACCGCAAGGGTCAGGTCCCTGCTGTCCCCAAGCGGCGGAAGAGAAGTACTGCAGCGCACCCCCGCGTCTGTGGTTTAAAGCTGAGGTACGTAACTTTCCAACCACACTAACTAAAGCCATTGTCTCAGGTTCCTGGCTTTAAAACAGCTATACACTAGTTTTCAAATAAATGTGTTTTTAGCCTCTGTGAGATATTTAGATCAACTTTATCAGACAGAGACCAGAGAGACCAGAAAGAGAGAGACTAGAGAGAGACCAGAGAGTGATCAGAGTCAATTAGTGACTCACACAGGGCTGTTCCTTAAGCCTGGTTCACACGGCAGGATATTTAGGCCGATTTAGACCCGATTTACCCCTTACGACAATCTTAAGAAACGCTCCGATTTCCGTAACAAAATCTTACAGATTATCCTGCCGTGTGTGGTGTGTTAAGACTGCACTCGTCGCTCGGAAGGACATCGGGACTGCTCCCGATCTCAAATCGGGGATATCCAACATGTTGGATTGTTTTGGCCCGATTTCTTGTCGTGTGTGGTGTCCTCCGAGGACAAGCGAGCGCGTTGCCATGACTACGGCGTGTAGCCAATAAGAAGACGAGGTGACAAGCCGGTGAGGAAACACCGGAAAAAAACCAAAACACAGCAGCATGGCTTTGACCATTGCCTTTTCTTTGGATTACGTCTCTTCTCTGTTAACAACAAACTGCACACTATCGCCACTGCATCCTCTTCGTCCGCCATGACTGTTTACTCTGAAGTCACGCTTGATCTCGAGAGATTTTGTGAGATTTCCGTCTGACCTGGGAATGCTCGGGGGGGGGGGTGTCGGTTCGTGTGTGACGTTTGTGGCTTGCGTGATCTTGCCGTGTGGACCGTGGTGAAGTTGGTTTCACGTTGGACGTTGGATATTCGCCTCCAGCACTAAGATCGTTTGAACTTAGGGACCGTCTATGAATTACTGTCTGTGTAAAAAATGTAGTTTAGGTGTAAATCAATAATATGATACAAATAAACAATTTTAATGAAAAGAGATAGAAAATACACCTAAAGATTACATTTAGTCTACCACATTTAATATTTTATTGTATTTCATGGTTTTTTCAAAGACTTTTGATGGAAAAGTATGGGTTTTTCCTCAATAGCTTTTAGAGCATTTGACCCAGTCACCCTAGAATACTTTACAAAATTAGTACTTCCTCTAGGCTATGGGGCTCAGGCAATGAAATTATGCTTAATAGATTTGGTGTATTTTTCAAGGATTTTTTTATATAAAGTATGTTTTTTTCCTCAATAGCTTTTAGGGCATTTGACCCAGTCACCCCAAAACACTTTACAAAATTAGTACTACCTCTAGGCTATGGGGCTCAGGCCATGAAATTATGCTTAATAGATTTGATGTATTTTTCAAGGATTTTTTTTATATAAAGTATGGGTTTTTCCTCAATACCTTTTAGAGCATTTGACCCAGTCACCCCAGAATACTTTACACAATTAGTACTTCCTCTAGGCTATGGGGCTCAGGCAATGAAATTATGCTTAATAGATTTGATGTATTTTTCAAGGATGTTTTTATAGAAAGTATGGGTTTTTCCTCAATACCTTTTAGAGCATTTGACCCAGTCACCCCAAAACACTTTACACAATTAGTACTTCCTCTAGGCTATGGGGCTCAGGCCATGAAATTATGCGGAATAGATTTGGTGTATTTTTCACGGATTTATTATTTAAAGTATGGGTTTTTCCTCAATAGCTTTTAGGGCATTGGACCCAGTCAACCCAAAATACTTTACAAAATTAGTACTACCTCTAGGCTATGGGGCTCAGGCCATGAAATTATGCTGAATAGATTTGGTGTATTTTTCAAGGATTTTTAATGGAAAGTATGGGTTTTTCCTCAATAGCTTTTAGAGCATTTGACCCAGTCACCACAGAATACTTTACAAAATTAGTACTTCCTCTAGGCTATGGGGCTCAGGCCATGAAATTATGCTTAGTAGATTTGGTGTATTTTTCAAGGATTTTTTTATATAAAGTATGGGTTTTTCCTCAATACCTTTTAGGGCATTTGACCCAGTCACCCCAAAACACTTTACAAAATTAGTACTACCTCTAGGCTATGGGGCTCAGCCCTTGAATTTTTTCTTAAAAGCTTTTAAAATTATTTTTGGGTTAAAAATACCAGTTTTTCTTCAATAGCTTTTAGGGCATTTGACCCATTTACTCCAAACCACTTTTAAATAATAGTACTACCTGAGGGCTATGGGGCTCAGCCCTTGAAATTGTTCTTAAAAGCTTTTAAAATTATTTTGTGCCTAAAAATACCAGTTTTTCTTCAATAGCTTTTAGGGCATTTGACCCATTTACTCCAAACCACTTTTAAATAATAGTAATAAATGAGGGCTATTGGGCTCAGCCCTTGAAATTGTTCTTAAAAGCTTTTAACATTTTTAAATGATTTTTTTGGTTAAAAATACCTGTTTTTCTTCAATAGCTTTTAGGGCATTTGTCCCATTTACTCCAAACCACTTTTGAATAATAGTACTACCTGAGTGCTATGGGGCTCAGCCCTTGAAATTGTTCTTAAAAGCTTTTAAAATTATTTTTTTGGTTAAAAATACCAGTTTTTCTTCAATAGCTTTTAGGGCATTTGACCCATTTACTCCAAACCCCTTTTAAATAATAGTACTAAATGAGGGCTATGGGGCTCAGCCCTTGAAATTGTTCTTAAAAGCTTTTAACATTTTTAAATGATTTATTTGGTTAAAAATACCACTTTTTCTTCAATAGCTTTTAGGGCATTTGACCCATTTACTCCAAATCACTTTTAAATAATAGTACTACCTGAGGGCTATGGGGCTCAGCCCTTGAAATTGTTCTTAAAAGCTTTTAACATTTGTAAATGATTTATTTAGTTAAAATACCAGTTTTTCTTCAATAGCTTTTAGGGCATTTGACCCATTTACTCCAAACCACTTTTAAATAATAGTACTAAATGAGGGCTATGGGGCTCAGCCCTTGAAATTGTTCTTAAAAGCTTTTAACATTTTTAAATGATTTATTTGGTTAAAAATACCAGTTTTTCTTCAATAGCTTTTAGGGCATTTGACCCATTTACTCCAAACCACTTTTAAATAATAGTACTACCTGAGGGCTATGGGGCTCAACCCTTGAAATTGTTCTTAAAAGCTTTTAACATTTTTAAATGATTTATTTGGTTAAAAATACCAGTTTTTCTTCAATAGCTTTTAGGGTATTTGACCCATTTACTCCAAACCCCTTTTAAATAATAGTACTAAATGAGGGCTATGGGGCTATCATAGTCCTCCCTCCCCCCCCCCCCCCCCCCCCCCCCCCCCCCCCCCCCCCCCCCCCCCCCCCCCCCCCCCCCCCCCCCCCCCCCCCCCCCCCCCCCCCCCCCCCCCCCCCCCCCCCCCCCCCCCCCCCCCCCCCCCCCCCCCCCCCCCCCCCCCCCCCCCCCCCCCCCCCCCCCCCCCCCCCCCCCCCCCCCCCCCCCCCCCCCCCCCCCCCCCCCCCCCCCCCCCCCCCCCCCCCCCCCCCCCCCCCCCCCCCCCCCCCCCCCCCCCCCCCCCCCCCCCCCCCCCCCCCCCCCCCCCCCCCCCCCCCCCCCCCCCCCCCCCCCCCCCCCCCCCCCCCCCCCCCCCCCCCCCCCCCCCCCCCCCCCCCCCCCCCCCCCCCCCCCCCCCCCCCCCCCCCCCCCCCCCCCCCCCCCCCCCCCCCCCCCCCCCCCCCCCCCCCCCCCCCCCCCCCCCCCCCCCCCCCCCCCCCCCCCCCCCCCCCCCCCCCCCCCCCCCCCCCCCCCCCCCCCCCCCCCCCCCCCCCCCCCCCCCCCCCCCCCCCCCCCCCCCCCCCCCCCCCCCCCCCCCCCCCCCCCCCCCCCCCCCCCCCCCCCCCCCCCCCCCCCCCCCCCCCCCCCCCCCCCCCCCCCCCCCCCCCCCCCCCCCCCCCCCCCCCCCCCCCCCCCCCCCCCCCCCCCCCCCCCCCCCCCCCCCCCCCCCCCCCCCCCCCCCCCCCCCCCCCCCCCCCCCCCCCCCCCCCCCCCCCCCCCCCCCCCCCCCCCCCCCCCCCCCCCCCCCCCCCCCCCCCCCCCCCCCCCCCCCCCCCCCCCCCCCCCCCCCCCCCCCCCCCCCCCCCCCCCCCCCCCCCCCCCCCCCCCCCCCCCCCCCCCCCCCCCCCCCCCCCCCCCCCCCCCCCCCCCCCCCCCCCCCCCCCCCCCCCCCCCCCCCCCCCCCCCCCCCCCCCCCCCCCCCCCCCCCCCCCCCCCCCCCCCCCCCCCCCCCCCCCCCCCCCCCCCCCCCCCCCCCCCCCCCCCCCCCCCCCCCCCCCCCCCCCCCCCCCCCCCCCCCCCCCCCCCCCCCCCCCCCCCCCCCCCCCCCCCCCCCCCCCCCCCCCCCCCCCCCCCCCCCCCCCCCCCCCCCCCCCCCCCCCCCCCCCCCCCCCCCCCCCCCCCCCCCCCCCCCCCCCCCCCCCCCCCCCCCCCCCCCCCCCCCCCCCCCCCCCCCCCCCCCCCCCCCCCCCCCCCCCCCCCCCCCCCCCCCCCCCCCCCCCCCCCCCCCCCCCCCCCCCCCCCCCCCCCCCCCCCCCCCCCCCCCCCCCCCCCCCCCCCCCCCCCCCCCCCCCCCCCCCCCCCCCCCCCCCCCCCCCCCCCCCCCCCCCCCCCCCCCCCCCCCCCCCCCCCCCCCCCCCCCCCCCCCCCCCCCCCCCCCCCCCCCCCCCCCCCCCCCCCCCCCCCCCCCCCCCCCCCCCCCCCCCCCCCCCCCCCCCCCCCCCCCCCCCCCCCCCCCCCCCCCCCCCCCCCCCCCCCCCCCCCCCCCCCCCCCCCCCCCCCCCCCCCCCCCCCCCCCCCCCCCCCCCCCCCCCCCCCCCCCCCCCCCCCCCCCCCCCCCCCCCCCCCCCCCCCCCCCCCCCCCCCCCCCCCCCCCCCCCCCCCCCCCCCCCCCCCCCCCCCCCCCCCCCCCCCCCCCCCCCCCCCCCCCCCCCCCCCCCCCCCCCCCCCCCCCCCCCCCCCCCCCCCCCCCCCCCCCCCCCCCCCCCCCCCCCCCCCCCCCCCCCCCCCCCCCCCCCCCCCCCCCCCCCCCCCCCCCCCCCCCCCCCCCCCCCCCCCCCCCCCCCCCCCCCCCCCCCCCCCCCCCCCCCCCCCCCCCCCCCCCCCCCCCCCCCCCCCCCCCCCCCCCCCCCCCCCCCCCCCCCCCCCCCCCCCCCCCCCCCCCCCCCCCCCCCCCCCCCCCCCCCCCCCCCCCCCCCCCCCCCCCCCCCCCCCCCCCCCCCCCCCCCCCCCCCCCCCCCCCCCCCCCCCCCCCCCCCCCCCCCCCCCCCCCCCCCCCCCCCCCCCCCCCCCCCCCCCCCCCCCCCCCCCCCCCCCCCCCCCCCCCCCCCCCCCCCCCCCCCCCCCCCCCCCCCCCCCCCCCCCCCCCCCCCCCCCCCCCCCCCCCCCCCCCCCCCCCCCCCCCCCCCCCCCCCCCCCCCCCCCCCCCCCCCCCCCCCCCCCCCCCCCCCCCCCCCCCCCCCCCCCCCCCCCCCCCCCCCCCCCCCCCCCCCCCCCCCCCCCCCCCCCCCCCCCCCCCCCCCCCCCCCCCCCCCCCCCCCCCCCCCCCCCCCCCCCCCCCCCCCCCCCCCCCCCCCCCCCCCCCCCCCCCCCCCCCCCCCCCCCCCCCCCCCCCCCCCCCCCCCCCCCCCCCCCCCCCCCCCCCCCCCCCCCCCCCCCCCCCCCCCCCCCCCCCCCCCCCCCCCCCCCCCCCCCCCCCCCCCCCCCCCCCCCCCCCCCCCCCCCCCCCCCCCCCCCCCCCCCCCCCCCCCCCCCCCCCCCCCCCCCCCCCCCCCCCCCCCCCCCCCCCCCCCCCCCCCCCCCCCCCCCCCCCCCCCCCCCCCCCCCCCCCCCCCCCCCCCCCCCCCCCCCCCCCCCCCCCCCCCCCCCCCCCCCCCCCCCCCCCCCCCCCCCCCCCCCCCCCCCCCCCCCCCCCCCCCCCCCCCCCCCCCCCCCCCCCCCCCCCCCCCCCCCCCCCCCCCCCCCCCCCCCCCCCCCCCCCCCCCCCCCCCCCCCCCCCCCCCCCCCCCCCCCCCCCCCCCCCCCCCCCCCCCCCCCCCCCCCCCCCCCCCCCCCCCCCCCCCCCCCCCCCCCCCCCCCCCCCCCCCCCCCCCCCCCCCCCCCCCCCCCCCCCCCCCCCCCCCCCCCCCCCCCCCCCCCCCCCCCCCCCCCCCCCCCCCCCCCCCCCCCCCCCCCCCCCCCCCCCCCCCCCCCCCCCCCCCCCCCCCCCCCCCCCCCCCCCCCCCCCCCCCCCCCCCCCCCCCCCCCCCCCCCCCCCCCCCCCCCCCCCCCCCCCCCCCCCCCCCCCCCCCCCCCCCCCCCCCCCCCCCCCCCCCCCCCCCCCCCCCCCCCCCCCCCCCCCCCCCCCCCCCCCCCCCCCCCCCCCCCCCCCCCCCCCCCCCCCCCCCCCCCCCCCCCCCCCCCCCCCCCCCCCCCCCCCCCCCCCCCCCCCCCCCCCCCCCCCCCCCCCCCCCCCCCCCCCCCCCCCCCCCCCCCCCCCCCCCCCCCCCCCCCCCCCCCCCCCCCCCCCCCCCCCCCCCCCCCCCCCCCCCCCCCCCCCCCCCCCCCCCCCCCCCCCCCCCCCCCCCCCCCCCCCCCCCCCCCCCCCCCCCCCCCCCCCCCCCCCCCCCCCCCCCCCCCCCCCCCCCCCCCCCCCCCCCCCCCCCCCCCCCCCCCCCCCCCCCCCCCCCCCCCCCCCCCCCCCCCCCCCCCCCCCCCCCCCCCCCCCCCCCCCCCCCCCCCCCCCCCCCCCCCCCCCCCCCCCCCCCCCCCCCCCCCCCCCCCCCCCCCCCCCCCCCCCCCCCCCCCCCCCCCCCCCCCCCCCCCCCCCCCCCCCCCCCCCCCCCCCCCCCCCCCCCCCCCCCCCCCCCCCCCCCCCCCCCCCCCCCCCCCCCCCCCCCCCCCCCCCCCCCCCCCCCCCCCCCCCCCCCCCCCCCCCCCCCCCCCCCCCCCCCCCCCCCCCCCCCCCCCCCCCCCCCCCCCCCCCCCCCCCCCCCCCCCCCCCCCCCCCCCCCCCCCCCCCCCCCCCCCCCCCCCCCCCCCCCCCCCCCCCCCCCCCCCCCCCCCCCCCCCCCCCCCCCCCCCCCCCCCCCCCCCCCCCCCCCCCCCCCCCCCCCCCCCCCCCCCCCCCCCCCCCCCCCCCCCCCCCCCCCCCCCCCCCCCCCCCCCCCCCCCCCCCCCCCCCCCCCCCCCCCCCCCCCCCCCCCCCCCCCCCCCCCCCCCCCCCCCCCCCCCCCCCCCCCCCCCCCCCCCCCCCCCCCCCCCCCCCCCCCCCCCCCCCCCCCCCCCCCCCCCCCCCCCCCCCCCCCCCCCCCCCCCCCCCCCCCCCCCCCCCCCCCCCCCCCCCCCCCCCCCCCCCCCCCCCCCCCCCCCCCCCCCCCCCCCCCCCCCCCCCCCCCCCCCCCCCCCCCCCCCCCCCCCCCCCCCCCCCCCCCCCCCCCCCCCCCCCCCCCCCCCCCCCCCCCCCCCCCCCCCCCCCCCCCCCCCCCCCCCCCCCCCCCCCCCCCCCCCCCCCCCCCCCCCCCCCCCCCCCCCCCCCCCCCCCCCCCCCCCCCCCCCCCCCCCCCCCCCCCCCCCCCCCCCCCCCCCCCCCCCCCCCCCCCCCCCCCCCCCCCCCCCCCCCCCCCCCCCCCCCCCCCCCCCCCCCCCCCCCCCCCCCCCCCCCCCCCCCCCCCCCCCCCCCCCCCCCCCCCCCCCCCCCCCCCCCCCCCCCCCCCCCCCCCCCCCCCCCCCCCCCCCCCCCCCCCCCCCCCCCCCCCCCCCCCCCCCCCCCCCCCCCCCCCCCCCCCCCCCCCCCCCCCCCCCCCCCCCCCTACCCCCCCCCCCCCCCCCCCCCCCCCCCCCCCCCCCCCCCCCCCCCCCCCCCCCCCCCCCCCCCCCCCCCCCCCCCCCCCCCCCCCCCCCCCCCCCCCCCCCCCCCCCCCCCCCCCCCCCCCCCCCCCCCCCCCCCCCCCCCCCCCCCCCCCCCCCCCCCCCCCCCCCCCCCCCCCCCCCCCCCCCCCCCCCCCCCCCCCCCCCCCCCCCCCCCCCCCCCCCCCCCCCCCCCCCCCCCCCCCCCCCCCCCCCCCCCCCCCCCCCCCCCCCCCCCCCCCCCCCCCCCCCCCCCCCCCCCCCCCCCCCCCCCCCCCCCCCCCCCCCCCCCCCCCCCCCCCCCCCCCCCCCCCCCCCCCCCCCCCCCCCCCCCCCCCCCCCCCCCCCCCCCCCCCCCCCCCCCCCCCCCCCCCCCCCCCCCCCCCCCCCCCCCCCCCCCCCCCCCCCCCCCCCCCCCCCCCCCCCCCCCCCCCCCCCCCCCCCCCCCCCCCCCCCCCCCCCCCCCCCCCCCCCCCCCCCCCCCCCCCCCCCCCCCCCCCCCCCCCCCCCCCCCCCCCCCCCCCCCCCCCCCCCCCCCCCCCCCCCCCCCCCCCCCCCCCCCCCCCCCCCCCCCCCCCCCCCCCCCCCCCCCCCCCCCCCCCCCCCCCCCCCCCCCCCCCCCCCCCCCCCCCCCCCCCCCCCCCCCCCCCCCCCCCCCCCCCCCCCCCCCCCCCCCCCCCCCCCCCCCCCCCCCCCCCCCCCCCCCCCCCCCCCCCCCCCCCCCCCCCCCCCCCCCCCCCCCCCCCCCCCCCCCCCCCCCCCCCCCCCCCCCCCCCCCCCCCCCCCCCCCCCCCCCCCCCCCCCCCCCCCCCCCCCCCCCCCCCCCCCCCCCCCCCCCCCCCCCCCCCCCCCCCCCCCCCCCCCCCCCCCCCCCCCCCCCCCCCCCCCCCCCCCCCCCCCCCCCCCCCCCCCCCCCCCCCCCCCCCCCCCCCCCCCCCCCCCCCCCCCCCCCCCCCCCCCCCCCCCCCCCCCCCCCCCCCCCCCCCCCCCCCCCCCCCCCCCCCCCCCCCCCCCCCCCCCCCCCCCCCCCCCCCCCCCCCCCCCCCCCCCCCCCCCCCCCCCCCCCCCCCCCCCCCCCCCCCCCCCCCCCCCCCCCCCCCCCCCCCCCCCCCCCCCCCCCCCCCCCCCCCCCCCCCCCCCCCCCCCCCCCCCCCCCCCCCCCCCCCCCCCCCCCCCCCCCCCCCCCCCCCCCCCCCCCCCCCCCCCCCCCCCCCCCCCCCCCCCCCCCCCCCCCCCCCCCCCCCCCCCCCCCCCCCCCCCCCCCCCCCCCCCCCCCCCCCCCCCCCCCCCCCCCCCCCCCCCCCCCCCCCCCCCCCCCCCCCCCCCCCCCCCCCCCCCCCCCCCCCCCCCCCCCCCCCCCCCCCCCCCCCCCCCCCCCCCCCCCCCCCCCCCCCCCCCCCCCCCCCCCCCCCCCCCCCCCCCCCCCCCCCCCCCCCCCCCCCCCCCCCCCCCCCCCCCCCCCCCCCCCCCCCCCCCCCCCCCCCCCCCCCCCCCCCCCCCCCCCCCCCCCCCCCCCCCCCCCCCCCCCCCCCCCCCCCCCCCCCCCCCCCCCCCCCCCCCCCCCCCCCCCCCCCCCCCCCCCCCCCCCCCCCCCCCCCCCCCCCCCCCCCCCCCCCCCCCCCCCCCCCCCCCCCCCCCCCCCCCCCCCCCCCCCCCCCCCCCCCCCCCCCCCCCCCCCCCCCCCCCCCCCCCCCCCCCCCCCCCCCCCCCCCCCCCCCCCCCCCCCCCCCCCCCCCCCCCCCCCCCCCCCCCCCCCCCCCCCCCCCCCCCCCCCCCCCCCCCCCCCCCCCCCCCCCCCCCCCCCCCCCCCCCCCCCCCCCCCCCCCCCCCCCCCCCCCCCCCCCCCCCCCCCCCCCCCCCCCCCCCCCCCCCCCCCCCCCCCCCCCCCCCCCCCCCCCCCCCCCCCCCCCCCCCCCCCCCCCCCCCCCCCCCCCCCCCCCCCCCCCCCCCCCCCCCCCCCCCCCCCCCCCCCCCCCCCCCCCCCCCCCCCCCCCCCCCCCCCCCCCCCCCCCCCCCCCCCCCCCCCCCCCCCCCCCCCCCCCCCCCCCCCCCCCCCCCCCCCCCCCCCCCCCCCCCCCCCCCCCCCCCCCCCCCCCCCCCCCCCCCCCCCCCCCCCCCCCCCCCCCCCCCCCCCCCCCCCCCCCCCCCCCCCCCCCCCCCCCCCCCCCCCCCCCCCCCCCCCCCCCCCCCCCCCCCCCCCCCCCCCCCCCCCCCCCCCCCCCCCCCCCCCCCCCCCCCCCCCCCCCCCCCCCCCCCCCCCCCCCCCCCCCCCCCCCCCCCCCCCCCCCCCCCCCCCCCCCCCCCCCCCCCCCCCCCCCCCCCCCCCCCCCCCCCCCCCCCCCCCCCCCCCCCCCCCCCCCCCCCCCCCCCCCCCCCCCCCCCCCCCCCCCCCCCCCCCCCCCCCCCCCCCCCCCCCCCCCCCCCCCCCCCCCCCCCCCCCCCCCCCCCCCCCCCCCCCCCCCCCCCCCCCCCCCCCCCCCCCCCCCCCCCCCCCCCCCCCCCCCCCCCCCCCCCCCCCCCCCCCCCCCCCCCCCCCCCCCCCCCCCCCCCCCCCCCCCCCCCCCCCCCCCCCCCCCCCCCCCCCCCCCCCCCCCCCCCCCCCCCCCCCCCCCCCCCCCCCCCCCCCCCCCCCCCCCCCCCCCCCCCCCCCCCCCCCCCCCCCCCCCCCCCACCCCCCCCCCCCCCCCCCCCCCCCCCCCCCCCCCCCCCCCCCCCCCCCCCCCCCCCCCCCCCCCCCCCCCCCCCCCCCCCCCCCCCCCCCCCCCCCCCCCCCCCCCCCCCCCCCCCCCCCCCCCCCCCCCCCCCCCCCCCCCCCCCCCACCCCCCCCCCCCCCCCCCCCCCCCCCCCCCCCCCCCCCCCCCCCCCCCCCCCCCCCCCCCCCCCCCCCCCCCCCCCCCCCCCCCCCCCCCCCCCCCCCCCCCCCCCCCCCCCCCCCCCCCCCCCCCCCCCCCCCCCCCCCCCCCCCCCCCCCCCCCCCCCCCCCCCCCCCCCCCCCCCCCCCCCCCCCCCCCCCCCCCCCCCCCCCCCCCCCCCCCCCCCCCCCCCCCCCCCCCCCCCCCCCCCCCCCCCCCCCCCCCCCCCCCCCCCCCCCCCCCCCCCCCCCCCCCCCCCCCCCCCCCCCCCCCCCCCCCCCCCCCCCCCCCCCCCCCCCCCCCCCCCCCCCCCCCCCCCCCCCCCCCCCCCCCCCCCCCCCCCCCCCCCCCCCCCCCCCCCCCCCCCCCCCCCCCCCCCCCCCCCCCCCCCCCCCCCCCCCCCCCCCCCCCCCCCCCCCCCCCCCCCCCCCCCCCCCCCCCCCCCCCCCCCCCCCCCCCCCCCCCCCCCCCCCCCCCCCCCCCCCCCCCCCCCCCCCCCCCCCCCCCCCCCCCCCCCCCCCCCCCCCCCCCCCCCCCCCCCCCCCCCCCCCCCCCCCCCCCCCCCCCCCCCCCCCCCCCCCCCCCCCCCCCCCCCCCCCCCCCCCCCCCCCCCCCCCCCCCCCCCCCCCCCCCCCCCCCCCCCCCCCCCCCCCCCCCCCCCCCCCCCCCCCCCCCCCCCCCCCCCCCCCCCCCCCCCCCCCCCCCCCCCCCCCCCCCCCCCCCCCCCCCCCCCCCCCCCCCCCCCCCCCCCCCCCCCCCCCCCCCCCCCCCCCCCCCCCCCCCCCCCCCCCCCCCCCCCCCCCCCCCCCCCCCCCCCCCCCCCCCCCCCCCCCCCCCCCCCCCCCCCCCCCCCCCCCCCCCCCCCCCCCCCCCCCCCCCCCCCCCCCCCCCCCCCCCCCCCCCCCCCCCCCCCCCCCCCCCCCCCCCCCCCCCCCCCCCCCCCCCCCCCCCCCCCCCCCCCCCCCCCCCCCCCCCCCCCCCCCCCCCCCCCCCCCCCCCCCCCCCCCCCCCCCCACCCCCCCCCCCCCCCCCCCCCCCCCCCCCCCCCCCCCCCCCCCCCCCCCCCCCCCCCCCCCCCCCCCCCCCCCCCCCCCCCCCCCCCCCCCCCCCCCCCCCCCCCCCCCCCCCCCCCCCCCCCCCCCCCCCCCCCCCCCCCCCCCCCCCCCCCCCCCCCCCCCCCCCCCCCCCCCCCCCCCCCCCCCCCCCCCCCCCCCCCCCCCCCCCCCCCCCCCCCCCCCCCCCCCCCCCCCCCCCCCCCCCCCCCCCCCCCCCCCCCCCCCCCCCCCCCCCCCCCCCCCCCCCCCCCCCCCCCCCCCCCCCCCCCCCCCCCCCCCCCCCCCCCCCCCCCCCCCCCCCCCCCCCCCCCCCCCCCCCCCCCCCCCCCCCCCCCCCCCCCCCCCCCCCCCCCCCCCCCCCCCCCCCCCCCCCCCCCCCCCCCCCCCCCCCCCCCCCCCCCCCCCCCCCCCCCCCCCCCCCCCCCCCCCCCCCCCCCCCCCCCCCCCCCCCCCCCCCCCCCCCCCCCCCCCCCCCCCCCCCCCCCCCCCCCCCCCCCCCCCCCCCCCCCCCCCCCCCCCCCCCCCCCCCCCCCCCCCCCCCCCCCCCCCCCCCCCCCCCCCCCCCCCCCCCCCCCCCCCCCCCCCCCCCCCCCCCCCCCCCCCCCCCCCCCCCCCCCCCCCCCCCCCCCCCCCCCCCCCCCCCCCCCCCCCCCCCCCCCCCCCCCCCCCCCCCCCCCCCCCCCCCCCCCCCCCCCCCCCCCCCCCCCCCCCCCCCCCCCCCCCCCCCCCCCCCCCCCCCCCCCCCCCCCCCCCCCCCCCCCCCCCCCCCCCCCCCCCCCCCCCCCCCCCCCCCCCCCCCCCCCCCCCCCCCCCCCCCCCCCCCCCCCCCCCCCCCCCCCCCCCCCCCCCCCCCCCCCCCCCCCCCCCCCCCCCCCCCCCCCCCCCCCCCCCCCCCCCCCCCCCCCCCCCCCCCCCCCCCCCCCCCCCCCCCCCCCCCCCCCCCCCCCCCCCCCCCCCCCCCCCCCCCCCCCCCCCCCCCCCCCCCCCCCCCCCCCCCCCCCCCCCCCCCCCCCCCCCCCCCCCCCCCCCCCCCCCCCCCCCCCCCCCCCCCCCCCCCCCCCCCCCCCCCCCCCCCCCCCCCCCCCCCCCCCCCCCCCCCCCCCCCCCCCCCCCCCCCCCCCCCCCCCCCCCCCCCCCCCCCCCCCCCCCCCCCCCCCCCCCCCCCCCCCCCCCCCCCCCCCCCCCCCCCCCCCCCCCCCCCCCCCCCCCCCCCCCCCCCCCCCCCCCCCCCCCCCCCCCCCCCCCCCCCCCCCCCCCCCCCCCCCCCCCCCCCCCCCCCCCCCCCCCCCCCCCCCCCCCCCCCCCCCCCCCCCCCCCCCCCCCCCCCCCCCCCCCCCCCCCCCCCCCCCCCCCCCCCCCCCCCCCCCCCCCCCCCCCCCCCCCCCCCCCCCCCCCCCCCCCCCCCCCCCCCCCCCCCCCCCCCCCCCCCCCCCCCCCCCCCCCCCCCCCCCCCCCCCCCCCCCCCCCCCCCCCCCCCCCCCCCCCCCCCCCCCCCCCCCCCCCCCCCCCCCCCCCCCCCCCCCCCCCCCCCCCCCCCCCCCCCCCCCCCCCCCCCCCCCCCCCCCCCCCCCCCCCCCCCCCCCCCCCCCCCCCCCCCCCCCCCCCCCCCCCCCCCCCCCCCCCCCCCCCCCCCCCCCCCCCCCCCCCCCCCCCCCCCCCCCCCCCCCCCCCCCCCCCCCCCCCCCCCCCCCCCCCCCCCCCCCCCCCCCCCCCCCCCCCCCCCCCCCCCCCCCCCCCCCCCCCCCCCCCCCCCCCCCCCCCCCCCCCCCCCCCCCCCCCCCCCCCCCCCCCCCCCCCCCCCCCCCCCCCCCCCCCCCCCCCCCCCCCCCCCCCCCCCCCCCCCCCCCCCCCCCCCCCCCCCCCCCCCCCCCCCCCCCCCCCCCCCCCCCCCCCCCCCCCCCCCCCCCCCCCCCCCCCCCCCCCCCCCCCCCCCCCCCCCCCCCCCCCCCCCCCCCCCCCCCCCCCCCCCCCCCCCCCCCCCCCCCCCCCCCCCCCCCCCCCCCCCCCCCCCCCCCCCCCCCCCCCCCCCCCCCCCCCCCCCCCCCCCCCCCCCCCCCCCCCCCCCCCCCCCCCCCCCCCCCCCCCCCCCCCCCCCCCCCCCCCCCCCCCCCCCCCCCCCCCCCCCCCCCCCCCCCCCCCCCCCCCCCCCCCCCCCCCCCCCCCCCCCCCCCCCCCCCCCCCCCCCCCCCCCCCCCCCCCCCCCCCCCCCCCCCCCCCCCCCCCCCCCCCCCCCCCCCCCCCCCCCCCCCCCCCCCCCCCCCCCCCCCCCCCCCCCCCCCCCCCCCCCCCCCCCCCCCCCCCCCCCCCCCCCCCCCCCCCCCCCCCCCCCCCCCCCCCCCCCCCCCCCCCCCCCCCCCCCCCCCCCCCCCCCCCCCCCCCCCCCCCCCCCCCCCCCCCCCCCCCCCCCCCCCCCCCCCCCCCCCCCCCCCCCCCCCCCCCCCCCCCCCCCCCCCCCCCCCCCCCCCCCCCCCCCCCCCCCCCCCCCCCCCCCCCCCCCCCCCCCCCCCCCCCCCCCCCCCCCCCCCCCCCCCCCCCCCCCCCCCCCCCCCCCCCCCCCCCCCCCCCCCCCCCCCCCCCCCCCCCCCCCCCCCCCCCCCCCCCCCCCCCCCCCCCCCCCCCCCCCCCCCCCCCCCCCCCCCCCCCCCCCCCCCCCCCCCCCCCCCCCCCCCCCCCCCCCCCCCCCCCCCCCCCCCCCCCCCCCCCCCCCCCCCCCCCCCCCCCCCCCCCCCCCCCCCCCCCCCCCCCCCCCCCCCCCCCCCCCCCCCCCCCCCCCCCCCCCCCCCCCCCCCCCCCCCCCCCCCCCCCCCCCCCCCCCCCCCCCCCCCCCCCCCCCCCCCCCCCCCCCCCCCCCCCCCCCCCCCCCCCCCCCCCCCCCCCCCCCCCCCCCCCCCCCCCCCCCCCCCCCCCCCCCCCCCCCCCCCCCCCCCCCCCCCCCCCCCCCCCCCCCCCCCCCCCCCCCCCCCCCCCCCCCCCCCCCCCCCCCCCCCCCCCCCCCCCCCCCCCCCCCCCCCCCCCCCCCCCCCCCCCCCCCCCCCCCCCCCCCCCCCCCCCCCCCCCCCCCCCCCCCCCCCCCCCCCCCCCCCCCCCCCCCCCCCCCCCCCCCCCCCCCCCCCCCCCCCCCCCCCCCCCCCCCCCCCCCCCCCCCCCCCCCCCCCCCCCCCCCCCCCCCCCCCCCCCCCCCCCCCCCCCCCCCCCCCCCCCCCCCCCCCCCCCCCCCCCCCCCCCCCCCCCCCCCCCCCCCCCCCCCCCCCCCCCCCCCCCCCCCCCCCCCCCCCCCCCCCCCCCCCCCCCCCCCCCCCCCCCCCCCCCCCCCCCCCCCCCCCCCCCCCCCCCCCCCCCCCCCCCCCCCCCCCCCCCCCCCCCCCCCCCCCCCCCCCCCCCCCCCCCCCCCCCCCCCCCCCCCCCCCCCCCCCCCCCCCCCCCCCCCCCCCCCCCCCCCCCCCCCCCCCCCCCCCCCCCCCCCCCCCCCCCCCCCCCCCCCCCCCCCCCCCCCCCCCCCCCCCCCCCCCCCCCCCCCCCCCCCCCCCCCCCCCCCCCCCCCCCCCCCCCCCCCCCCCCCCCCCCCCCCCCCCCCCCCCCCCCCCCCCCCCCCCCCCCCCCCCCCCCCCCCCCCCCCCCCCCCCCCCCCCCCCCCCCCCCCCCCCCCCCCCCCCCCCCCCCCCCCCCCCCCCCCCCCCCCCCCCCCCCCCCCCCCCCCCCCCCCCCCCCCCCCCCCCCCCCCCCCCCCCCCCCCCCCCCCCCCCCCCCCCCCCCCCCCCCCCCCCCCCCCCCCCCCCCCCCCCCCCCCCCCCCCCCCCCCCCCCCCCCCCCCCCCCCCCCCCCCCCCCCCCCCCCCCCCCCCCCCCCCCCCCCCCCCCCCCCCCCCCCCCCCCCCCCCCCCCCCCCCCCCCCCCCCCCCCCCCCCCCCCCCCCCCCCCCCCCCCCCCCCCCCCCCCCCCCCCCCCCCCCCCCCCCCCCCCCCCCCCCCCCCCCCCCCCCCCCCCCCCCCCCCCCCCCCCCCCCCCCCCCCCCCCCCCCCCCCCCCCCCCCCCCCCCCCCCCCCCCCCCCCCCCCCCCCCCCCCCCCCCCCCCCCCCCCCCCCCCCCCCCCCCCCCCCCCCCCCCCCCCCCCCCCCCCCCCCCCCCCCCCCCCCCCCCCCCCCCCCCCCCCCCCCCCCCCCCCCCCCCCCCCCCCCCCCCCCCCCCCCCCCCCCCCCCCCCCCCCCCCCCCCCCCCCCCCCCCCCCCCCCCCCCCCCCCCCCCCCCCCCCCCCCCCCCCCCCCCCCCCCCCCCCCCCCCCCCCCCCCCCCCCCCCCCCCCCCCCCCCCCCCCCCCCCCCCCCCCCCCCCCCCCCCCCCCCCCCCCCCCCCCCCCCCCCCCCCCCCCCCCCCCCCCCCCCCCCCCCCCCCCCCCCCCCCCCCCCCCCCCCCCCCCCCCCCCCCCCCCCCCCCCCCCCCCCCCCCCCCCCCCCCCCCCCCCCCCCCCCCCCCCCCCCCCCCCCCCCCCCCCCCCCCCCCCCCCCCCCCCCCCCCCCCCCCCCCCCCCCCCCCCCCCCCCCCCCCCCCCCCCCCCCCCCCCCCCCCCCCCCCCCCCCCCCCCCCCCCCCCCCCCCCCCCCCCCCCCCCCCCCCCCCCCCCCCCCCCCCCCCCCCCCCCCCCCCCCCCCCCCCCCCCCCCCCCCCCCCCCCCCCCCCCCCCCCCCCCCCCCCCCCCCCCCCCCCCCCCCCCCCCCCCCCCCCCCCCCCCCCCCCCCCCCCCCCCCCCCCCCCCCCCCCCCCCCCCCCCCCCCCCCCCCCCCCCCCCCCCCCCCCCCCCCCCCCCCCCCCCCCCCCCCCCCCCCCCCCCCCCCCCCCCCCCCCCCCCCCCCCCCCCCCCCCCCCCCCCCCCCCCCCCCCCCCCCCCCCCCCCCCCCCCCCCCCCCCCCCCCCCCCCCCCCCCCCCCCCCCCCCCCCCCCCCCCCCCCCCCCCCCCCCCCCCCCCCCCCCCCCCCCCCCCCCCCCCCCCCCCCCCCCCCCCCCCCCCCCCCCCCCCCCCCCCCCCCCCCCCCCCCCCCCCCCCCCCCCCCCCCCCCCCCCCCCCCCCCCCCCCCCCCCCCCCCCCCCCCCCCCCCCCCCCCCCCCCCCCCCCCCCCCCCCCCCCCCCCCCCCCCCCCCCCCCCCCCCCCCCCCCCCCCCCCCCCCCCCCCCCCCCCCCCCCCCCCCCCCCCCCCCCCCCCCCCCCCCCCCCCCCCCCCCCCCCCCCCCCCCCCCCCCCCCCCCCCCCCCCCCCCCCCCCCCCCCCCCCCCCCCCCCCCCCCCCCCCCCCCCCCCCCCCCCCCCCCCCCCCCCCCCCCCCCCCCCCCCCCCCCCCCCCCCCCCCCCCCCCCCCCCCCCCCCCCCCCCCCCCCCCCCCCCCCCCCCCCCCCCCCCCCCCCCCCCCCCCCCCCCCCCCCCCCCCCCCCCCCCCCCCCCCCCCCCCCCCCCCCCCCCCCCCCCCCCCCCCCCCCCCCCCCCCCCCCCCCCCCCCCCCCCCCCCCCCCCCCCCCCCCCCCCCCCCCCCCCCCCCCCCCCCCCCCCCCCCCCCCCCCCCCCCCCCCCCCCCCCCCCCCCCCCCCCCCCCCCCCCCCCCCCCCCCCCCCCCCCCCCCCCCCCCCCCCCCCCCCCCCCCCCCCCCCCCCCCCCCCCCCCCCCCCCCCCCCCCCCCCCCCCCCCCCCCCCCCCCCCCCCCCCCCCCCCCCCCCCCCCCCCCCCCCCCCCCCCCCCCCCCCCCCCCCCCCCCCCCCCCCCCCCCCCCCCCCCCCCCCCCCCCCCCCCCCCCCCCCCCCCCCCCCCCCCCCCCCCCCCCCCCCCCCCCCCCCCCCCCCCCCCCCCCCCCCCCCCCCCCCCCCCCCCCCCCCCCCCCCCCCCCCCCCCCCCCCCCCCCCCCCCCCCCCCCCCCCCCCCCCCCCCCCCCCCCCCCCCCCCCCCCCCCCCCCCCCCCCCCCCCCCCCCCCCCCCCCCCCCCCCCCCCCCCCCCCCCCCCCCCCCCCCCCCCCCCCCCCCCCCCCCCCCCCCCCCCCCCCCCCCCCCCCCCCCCCCCCCCCCCCCCCCCCCCCCCCCCCCCCCCCCCCCCCCCCCCCCCCCCCCCCCCCCCCCCCCCCCCCCCCCCCCCCCCCCCCCCCCCCCCCCCCTCCCCCCCCCCCCCCCCCCCCCCCCCCCCCCCCCCCCCCCCCCCCCCCCCCCCCCCCCCCCCCCCCCCCCCCCCCCCCCCCCCCCCCCCCCCCCCCCCCCCCCCCCCCCCCCCCCCCCCCCCCCCCCCCCCCCCCCCCCCCCCCCCCCCCCCCCCCCCCCCCCCCCCCCCCCCCCCCCCCCCCCCCCCCCCCCCCCCCCCCCCCCCCCCCCCCCCCCCCCCCCCCCCCCCCCCCCCCCCCCCCCCCCCCCCCCCCCCCCCCCCCCCCCCCCCCCCCCCCCCCCCCCCCCCCCCCCCCCCCCCCCCCCCCCCCCCCCCCCCCCCCCCCCCCCCCCCCCCCCCCCCCCCCCCCCCCCCCCCCCCCCCCCCCCCCCCCCCCCCCCCCCCCCCCCCCCCCCCCCCCCCCCCCCCCCCCCCCCCCCCCCCCCCCCCCCCCCCCCCCCCCCCCCCCCCCCCCCCCCCCCCCCCCCCCCCCCCCCCCCCCCCCCCCCCCCCCCCCCCCCCCCCCCCCCCCCCCCCCCCCCCCCCCCCCCCCCCCCCCCCCCCCCCCCCCCCCCCCCCCCCCCCCCCCCCCCCCCCCCCCCCCCCCCCCCCCCCCCCCCCCCCCCCCCCCCCCCCCCCCCCCCCCCCCCCCCCCCCCCCCCCCCCCCCCCCCCCCCCCCCCCCCCCCCCCCCCCCCCCCCCCCCCCCCCCCCCCCCCCCCCCCCCCCCCCCCCCCCCCCCCCCCCCCCCCCCCCCCCCCCCCCCCCCCCCCCCCCCCCCCCCCCCCCCCCCCCCCCCCCCCCCCCCCCCCCCCCCCCCCCCCCCCCCCCCCCCCCCCCCCCCCCCCCCCCCCCCCCCCCCCCCCCCCCCCCCCCCCCCCCCCCCCCCCCCCCCCCCCCCCCCCCCCCCCCCCCCCCCCCCCCCCCCCCCCCCCCCCCCCCCCCCCCCCCCCCCCCCCCCCCCCCCCCCCCCCCCCCCCCCCCCCCCCCCCCCCCCCCCCCCCCCCCCCCCCCCCCCCCCCCCCCCCCCCCCCCCCCCCCCCCCCCCCCCCCCCCCCCCCCCCCCCCCCCCCCCCCCCCCCCCCCCCCCCCCCCCCCCCCCCCCCCCCCCCCCCCCCCCCCCCCCCCCCCCCCCCCCCCCCCCCCCCCCCCCCCCCCCCCCCCCCCCCCCCCCCCCCCCCCCCCCCCCCCCCCCCCCCCCCCCCCCCCCCCCCCCCCCCCCCCCCCCCCCCCCCCCCCCCCCCCCCCCCCCCCCCCCCCCCCCCCCCCCCCCCCCCCCCCCCCCCCCCCCCCCCCCCCCCCCCCCCCCCCCCCCCCCCCCCCCCCCCCCCCCCCCCCCCCCCCCCCCCCCCCCCCCCCCCCCCCCCCCCCCCCCCCCCCCCCCCCCCCCCCCCCCCCCCCCCCCCCCCCCCCCCCCCCCCCCCCCCCCCCCCCCCCCCCCCCCCCCCCCCCCCCCCCCCCCCCCCCCCCCCCCCCCCCCCCCCCCCCCCCCCCCCCCCCCCCCCCCCCCCCCCCCCCCCCCCCCCCCCCCCCCCCCCCCCCCCCCCCCCCCCCCCCCCCCCCCCCCCCCCCCCCCCCCCCCCCCCCCCCCCCCCCCCCCCCCCCCCCCCCCCCCCCCCCCCCCCCCCCCCCCCCCCCCCCCCCCCCCCCCCCCCCCCCCCCCCCCCCCCCCCCCCCCCCCCCCCCCCCCCCCCCCCCCCCCCCCCCCCCCCCCCCCCCCCCCCCCCCCCCCCCCCCCCCCCCCCCCCCCCCCCCCCCCCCCCCCCCCCCCCCCCCCCCCCCCCCCCCCCCCCCCCCCCCCCCCCCCCCCCCCCCCCCCCCCCCCCCCCCCCCCCCCCCCCCCCCCCCCCCCCCCCCCCCCCCCCCCCCCCCCCCCCCCCCCCCCCCCCCCCCCCCCCCCCCCCCCCCCCCCCCCCCCCCCCCCCCCCCCCCCCCCCCCCCCCCCCCCCCCCCCCCCCCCCCCCCCCCCCCCCCCCCCCCCCCCCCCCCCCCCCCCCCCCCCCCCCCCCCCCCCCCCCCCCCCCCCCCCCCCCCCCCCCCCCCCCCCCCCCCCCCCCCCCCCCCCCCCCCCCCCCCCCCCCCCCCCCCCCCCCCCCCCCCCCCCCCCCCCCCCCCCCCCCCCCCCCCCCCCCCCCCCCCCCCCCCCCCCCCCCCCCCCCCCCCCCCCCCCCCCCCCCCCCCCCCCCCCCCCCCCCCCCCCCCCCCCCCCCCCCCCCCCCCCCCCCCCCCCCCCCCCCCCCCCCCCCCCCCCCCCCCCCCCCCCCCCCCCCCCCCCCCCCCCCCCCCCCCCCCCCCCCCCCCCCCCCCCCCCCCCCCCCCCCCCCCCCCCCCCCCCCCCCCCCCCCCCCCCCCCCCCCCCCCCCCCCCCCCCCCCCCCCCCCCCCCCCCCCCCCCCCCCCCCCCCCCCCCCCCCCCCCCCCCCCCCCCCCCCCCCCCCCCCCCCCCCCCCCCCCCCCCCCCCCCCCCCCCCCCCCCCCCCCCCCCCCCCCCCCCCCCCCCCCCCCCCCCCCCCCCCCCCCCCCCCCCCCCCCCCCCCCCCCCCCCCCCCCCCCCCCCCCCCCCCCCCCCCCCCCCCCCCCCCCCCCCCCCCCCCCCCCCCCCCCCCCCCCCCCCCCCCCCCCCCCCCCCCCCCCCCCCCCCCCCCCCCCCCCCCCCCCCCCCCCCCCCCCCCCCCCCCCCCCCCCCCCCCCCCCCCCCCCCCCCCCCCCCCCCCCCCCCCCCCCCCCCCCCCCCCCCCCCCCCCCCCCCCCCCCCCCCCCCCCCCCCCCCCCCCCCCCCCCCCCCCCCCCCCCCCCCCCCCCCCCCCCCCCCCCCCCCCCCCCCCCCCCCCCCCCCCCCCCCCCCCCCCCCCCCCCCCCCCCCCCCCCCCCCCCCCCCCCCCCCCCCCCCCCCCCCCCCCCCCCCCCCCCCCCCCCCCCCCCCCCCCCCCCCCCCCCCCCCCCCCCCCCCCCCCCCCCCCCCCCCCCCCCCCCCCCCCCCCCCCCCCCCCCCCCCCCCCCCCCCCCCCCCCCCCCCCCCCCCCCCCCCCCCCCCCCCCCCCCCCCCCCCCCCCCCCCCCCCCCCCCCCCCCCCCCCCCCCCCCCCCCCCCCCCCCCCCCCCCCCCCCCCCCCCCCCCCCCCCCCCCCCCCCCCCCCCCCCCCCCCCCCCCCCCCCCCCCCCCCCCCCCCCCCCCCCCCCCCCCCCCCCCCCCCCCCCCCCCCCCCCCCCCCCCCCCCCCCCCCCCCCCCCCCCCCCCCCCCCCCCCCCCCCCCCCCCCCCCCCCCCCCCCCCCCCCCCCCCCCCCCCCCCCCCCCCCCCCCCCCCCCCCCCCCCCCCCCCCCCCCCCCCCCCCCCCCCCCCCCCCCCCCCCCCCCCCCCCCCCCCCCCCCCCCCCCCCCCCCCCCCCCCCCCCCCCCCCCCCCCCCCCCCCCCCCCCCCCCCCCCCCCCCCCCCCCCCCCCCCCCCCCCCCCCCCCCCCCCCCCCCCCCCCCCCCCCCCCCCCCCCCCCCCCCCCCCCCCCCCCCCCCCCCCCCCCCCCCCCCCCCCCCCCCCCCCCCCCCCCCCCCCCCCCCCCCCCCCCCCCCCCCCCCCCCCCCCCCCCCCCCCCCCCCCCCCCCCCCCCCCCCCCCCCCCCCCCCCCCCCCCCCCCCCCCCCCCCCCCCCCCCCCCCCCCCCCCCCCCCCCCCCCCCCCCCCCCCCCCCCCCCCCCCCCCCCCCCCCCCCCCCCCCCCCCCCCCCCCCCCCCCCCCCCCCCCCCCCCCCCCCCCCCCCCCCCCCCCCCCCCCCCCCCCCCCCCCCCCCCCCCCCCCCCCCCCCCCCCCCCCCCCCCCCCCCCCCCCCCCCCCCCCCCCCCCCCCCCCCCCCCCCCCCCCCCCCCCCCCCCCCCCCCCCCCCCCCCCCCCCCCCCCCCCCCCCCCCCCCCCCCCCCCCCCCCCCCCCCCCCCCCCCCCCCCCCCCCCCCCCCCCCCCCCCCCCCCCCCCCCCCCCCCCCCCCCCCCCCCCCCCCCCCCCCCCCCCCCCCCCCCCCCCCCCCCCCCCCCCCCCCCCCCCCCCCCCCCCCCCCCCCCCCCCCCCCCCCCCCCCCCCCCCCCCCCCCCCCCCCCCCCCCCCCCCCCCCCCCCCCCCCCCCCCCCCCCCCCCCCCCCCCCCCCCCCCCCCCCCCCCCCCCCCCCCCCCCCCCCCCCCCCCCCCCCCCCCCCCCCCCCCCCCCCCCCCCCCCCCCCCCCCCCCCCCCCCCCCCCCCCCCCCCCCCCCCCCCCCCCCCCCCCCCCCCCCCCCCCCCCCCCCCCCCCCCCCCCCCCCCCCCCCCCCCCCCCCCCCCCCCCCCCCCCCCCCCCCCCCCCCCCCCCCCCCCCCCCCCCCCCCCCCCCCCCCCCCCCCCCCCCCCCCCCCCCCCCCCCCCCCCCCCCCCCCCCCCCCCCCCCCCCCCCCCCCCCCCCCCCCCCCCCCCCCCCCCCCCCCCCCCCCCCCCCCCCCCCCCCCCCCCCCCCCCCCCCCCCCCCCCCCCCCCCCCCCCCCCCCCCCCCCCCCCCCCCCCCCCCCCCCCCCCCCCCCCCCCCCCCCCCCCCCCCCCCCCCCCCCCCCCCCCCCCCCCCCCCCCCCCCCCCCCCCCCCCCCCCCCCCCCCCCCCCCCCCCCCCCCCCCCCCCCCCCCCCCCCCCCCCCCCCCCCCCCCCCCCCCCCCCCCCCCCCCCCCCCCCCCCCCCCCCCCCCCCCCCCCCCCCCCCCCCCCCCCCCCCCCCCCCCCCCCCCCCCCCCCCCCCCCCCCCCCCCCCCCCCCCCCCCCCCCCCCCCCCCCCCCCCCCCCCCCCCCCCCCCCCCCCCCCCCCCCCCCCCCCCCCCCCCCCCCCCCCCCCCCCCCCCCCCCCCCCCCCCCCCCCCCCCCCCCCCCCCCCCCCCCCCCCCCCCCCCCCCCCCCCCCCCCCCCCCCCCCCCCCCCCCCCCCCCCCCCCCCCCCCCCCCCCCCCCCCCCCCCCCCCCCCCCCCCCCCCCCCCCCCCCCCCCCCCCCCCCCCCCCCCCCCCCCCCCCCCCCCCCCCCC